TTTTATTATTTATTGAAAATAATAATCTCTCTCTCTCTCTCTCTCTATTTATTTTAGTCCTTCCTGTCTTGCAGATTAGGGCTGTTCTCTCCCTCCCTTAATGAAACTGAGAGGCGCCCTGGTTTAATTTTTTTATTATTTATTTAAAATAATAATTTCTGTGCAGATTAGGGCTGTTCTCTCCCTCCCTTATTGAAACTGAGAGGCGCCCTGGTTTTATTTTATATATATATATATATATATATATATATATGTCCTTCGTGTGTGTGTGTGTGTGTGTGTGTGTGTGTGTGTGTATAAATGTATGTATGTATGTATATATGTATGTCTTTCCTGTCTTGCAGATAAACCATAACAGCAGATAGATATGGAAAGGCAAGGCACCCAAATACCTGAAAGAAAACCTCTTCCAATACCAGCCTGCCTCGTGTTTTAGGAGCTGGAGTCTCCTCCAGGTACATTCTGCACATGATCTGCTCCTGCTGCAGCATGTTACGTACCAGGCCGAGCAGCTTCTCCGTTTCGCTCCCCCATTGTGCAACTCATGCTGTCATTGCAATCTTTTGCAGGCTAGGTAACAACTGCTTTTTAAGACAGTTTGACTGGTTAGTATTTCCTTTTATATTTTACTGTTTCTGGGATGGAGTTATATATTGTTTCTATTTTAGAGTTATGTGGACGTCTGGGGGTCTTTTTTGAACATTGTCCGAATATCTGAATGAAAAGCAATTTTAAAATATTTCAATATTAATATGCAATTATTATAATACCAGTTCCCAATCTGCTGAGATGGGCACTTTTGCTCTGCACAACCCTTTCTCTCTTCCTACAAAAGCAAGGCAGCTCAAATTTGAAGCCCGTATTTGAAGGAAGGGCTTTACTACAATAAGTGTTTCTACTTTAGTTCTAAGTATTTACATATATTCAGCAGAATATGCACCTATTAATAATGCATGCTGTACACAGAAAAACAAGATACATAATCCCGCCTCACTGCCTTGCCATAAACACATCAAAAGATGCCTCAGTGTCTGGTGGTGAAGACCACATGACCCCACTCCATTAGTGGGTAACTGTCAATTGCTATCTTTGTATTTTATGGGTTTGCCAGAGTGCCTCCCTAACCCTGTAAGTTCACACATGTAACCTTTTTGTTTACTTAACTTGGCCAGCCTGTTCAAGGTAACTTTAGTTTAGAAGGCCTGTCAAAGGCATCTACTTAGAGTGAAATGTAACTTTTCTTTATGGTGTTGTGACTTGTATCCAATCACTTTCCTATCCTTATCAAAGTATCCAGTCACCTTCCTGTGTATTGTATTCACTCCCCTTTTGTGTATTCTATATAACCCTAAGGAAAATACCATGCGGTGTTCCTATTTTGGGCACCCATGGATCCATGCATTCAATTGTAAATAAACCTGTTTGCCCTGACAAGAGACTGATTCCGAGCCTATATTGCGGATCAGTGTGACAATGCATAGTAACACAAATATTAAATTAAGGTATCTTAAGATAAATAATAGAAGGTCTAATACATTAGTCTATCACTCATACTTTCCAAAATACAGTGTCCTGTCGAAATATACATCCCCCTTTGACTTTTCCATATTTTCTTGTGTTGCAACTTACAACTGAAATGAACTTGTGTGACATAGTTACAGGAGATATTTAAAGCTGTGGAGAATGCTTATTGTGGCACAAAAGTTAAGTCAAAAGGAAATGGGAACTTCATGGTTGCATATTTACTTCCCTGAATCGATACTTGATTGATGTATTTTTGACAGCAATTGCAGCTCTTGAATAAGCCTGTATTAGCACTTAACATCTGAATCCTGCAATGTTTGCTTATACTTGCTGGCAAAACTCTGGTCTGTCAAATCGGATGGGGACTGTGCCACTCACTCATGTTCTTGACTTGACAACACCTCACTGCGGCTTTGCTCTCCAGCAAACTCTAAGGCCTTTCAGAAACAGGTGTATTTAATTGGAGGTCATGTGGCTCTGGAACTGCACATATGTGGACTCTGTTCAGCTACTCACAGTATGTGAATTCTGTAGACAGTGTGTTGCACCAGAACTTATTTAGGTATGCTACAGCAAACAGGATGAATGCATGTGCAGCCATCAAATGCCTGTTTTTGTTTACTTAACTTCTATGTGCTGTAGCTGTTTAAAATCTGTATTTAAGAAATACAGTCTAGAAATATTTTTCACCTTGTTTAGCTGCTGCTTCATTATCTGATTTAAACTTTAGAATAGGCCTGTAGAGTGTATGCAGCTCATTGTGAAGATAATTTACAGCCCAGTCTGATACATGTTTGTTTGGAAGCAAGGACTACTGATTTTAGGAATACTCCACATAGGATTGTTTGCAAACTTCTACAGTTGAATGTAAAACATAAGTAGAGAGATGCATGCATATAAGACATGTGCGATTCCTAAGGAAGGGAGGACCCATATGTCAGTGACAGAGCATGTGTAGGACCAGGTAGCAAGTAACTGGAAAAGCTGACTCATGCACAGCCACTTCCAGCTGAAGCAGGCAATATTGGACTAAGTGGACAAATATTGTAGCACAAATGATACATAAAGAAAAACAAACTGTCTGACCTTCTATGAGGCAGCTTCCCATGTTTTCAACAGACTATGTGTCAAAAATACAAGTACATGTACTTACGGGAATAACAATTGTTTGATATGGCTAGAGTATTTAAACAGAAACCTAGAGTCTTTAGGATATAGCCATAAAATCTGTGTTTAGTATGACACCTTGCCCTGGCACATGGAAGGATAAAAGAGTACTTTCCCCATACTACAAACTATGCCCAAGCTCCAGATACTTGAGAATCAGCAAGGGTTTTCTGACAGATGTGACTAAGCTGAACACCCGTATCTTTCACTTTATAAATAAAGTGTTTATTTTGGATGTGGTGTACTTCTTTGTCATGAAAGTGGGCAAAGCTGATTTTCAGAGAATTCACCTTATTTCCAGTCTTCATTTGTCCTTTAGATACTTTCTCTATTAATGGGGTTTCTTGCTAATATGTGTATTCGTGACACAATTTTTCATAAAAATTCTGTAAACAGAATGCATATTTTAAAATGTTTTTATTAAATTATATTGTGTCATAAAAATCAGGTAGATTATAACTGTATTTGGAATGAATAACATTTGAAGTATAAAACAACAATGGGTTATATTTGTAGTTAATCACAAAGATATCTCAGTTTATAAATATTTAAGATCAGTTTTAAAAATTAATAAAATAACCAATTAATATAACATGATTTTGTTTATGCTTGGTATAGTGTAATAGATTTTAATATTTTAATTCACAGGTTGTGGAGCTGAACATCTGAATCTGAACTGATGGGTCATTTAGAGGCCAAGCCTAGCTCTTAACCAAGATGTGCAGCTGGCAGGAGGGGATGAGGCAGGGAAATTTCTCAGACACAGATGAAGCATACATGGATCCTGACCCTATGGTGCACTGTCAGCAGAGGAGGGCAGCCCAGTGAGAGGATCGGCATGCAGAGAGGAGGTGTGCCTGTTTTCAGAGGGCCCCTTCTGAAGGGATGGGGGCCAGGCAAGCTCATGCGTAGCAGTGCTGTTAACTCAGTATAGCACAGAGACTGTAAGACTTGGGCTTATTCTCTGAAATCTAGAACAGTGAATAAAATTATGTATTAACATATTTTCAGAGTTATTCTTATAAACTTGGTTCAGACATACTTACCTGCTGTGTAAATGAAAGTTTAAGAAGCAGGGAATGAGCACTAAGCCTGTGCATACCTTTCTCTCCCCTCCCCCCCTCCCCTCCCATACTGGCTTCCATGTGGAGATCCTCCTCTGTTTAAACCAGAGAGCTCCATTGTGTTTCAAATGGGGAATTCTGGTTTAATGATAGCTTACGAACCTGGAGTTTGACTAATAAGCTAACATGAAATCTCTGTAGGGGTAAAAGTTTTGGGGATGAAGCAATTAGAGGTGGAGAAACAGTGGATGGATGAAGGGCTAAGCGGCACTCTTATTGCTTCCTCAGTAACAATTGCATTTTCCTGAAGTGGCTTTTAAAGCTCACCGGCACAAAATTTGTTGGATTATAGTTGCATGTATTTGCATATAGAATGCAATATGCAATATAGAAGGGTAAGCTAATTGTTTTGAGGGGACCCATTGGAATCATTGGGACGTGGATTAGTCATGACTGGCTCAGGTACCACTGGTTTCAATGGATCTACTTTCAGTGTGGCGAGAAAATACAGGAGGGCTTAATTTGTGGATGACATGGTCTGAGCTCCCTATAAAATTAGACGACAGGCAGGGTGATGACATAGCGTTAGTCTTCTCTGAAGCACCCAGGGAACATATCACATACACAAGCAATGAATGACTACATTTTTTGTTCCATTTCTTATCTCTATCCCTCTATTTTTTTTTATTTATTCCCTTTCCTGTTTTTTTCTTTCTCTCCCTTTTTCTATCTTCCCTTTCCATAATAACTGAATTGTAATAGGCAATTTACACTAAGTGCAAACACATAATATAAAGTAGTAAAACATAGAGCTGGGTGGATCTGGGTTTTGTATAAGTAGTGGCAGAAAATGGAACATTTGTTGCCATACTTGTAAAAATGGAATAAAAGGGCACAAGACTGTTTTTTTAAAGGACAGCTCATACCAAAGTCTTAGAGAAAACAAATATTTGTAAGATATAAAGCTAATTGTCAATTTCAAATATAAACCCAGAGTTTACCTTTAAAAACTCAGAAATGTTAGAAAAGTCAGAGAACAAATCCTTATGCATCAATCTTTAACATTTCCAGCAGACATTTGTCTGCACAGGATAACAGCCTTTCAATAATGGTACAGCATCTTGATTTATTACACATTGGTAAAGCTGTTGTTTGTGCCTCATCCTACCAACTTATTTGATGGTGCAGAAAGTAAAAGGATTTGGTTTTTGCATATATAGAATTTCTAAGCCTTTAAAAGAATCCTCATACCATCTTAATGAATTGATCAACACACGCCATTCGAATATGCTCAGGAGTTGCTGGGCTATTCAGCGTAAATATTCCAGTGAATCCTCTTTCCTTACGTGCTGCAACAATAGCATCCTTTATCGCAAAAAAGACAGAACATCCCAAGAAGACAGCTGGCTCACCAATTGCCTGTCAGTTACAATAACATGCATATAAAAAAAATACAAAAATCAAAATGAGAGCAGTGCAAAAAATGTATAAGAAGTCCAAGACTAGGGCATACAAGGGCATAACTGGTGGATCTGGCCCTGCTGCCACCATTGTGTATCGTACTGCTCAATCAATTGATTGATTGATTATATTTCTATGCTGCCCCATAGTTCACAGGGCTGCCCCATAGTCCTGGGTGGCTTACAGCAAGACAAGAAACAAAAAAACCCAATAATATAATCAAAACTTTACAGTGGAAAAATACAAAATCAATATAAATACAATAATATAATAGCAAGCACAAGTTAATATACAGTATTAATAACAGCAATACAAAATCAAAGTTACTTAATACAATAATATAATAATATTAAATAATGAAATACAGTGATAACACCCCCCACTCAAACTCCCATACCCACCAGCAGAAATTGGCTAAGCAAACAGCACAGCCCTGCCTCAGCATCTTCCCTACATTGTGACACAGCATGAGAAAAAGGCCCAGTCTTTGGGGCCCTACCCAGAGGGTGGACCTGATGGAGTCAGAAGTTCACAATGACATTTATGTTGAATGTACATGGTGCTTAGCCTAATGAAACAGGATTAAGAAAATAAGGATTGCTCAATATAAAATAGATAAGTTAGAGCAATGTAGACTAGAGCATAGATTGCTTACTATTAAGGTTCCTTTTGGTTTAGCCTGGGAGAGGGTTTCGTCTCATATTGCCCCAAAAAGCTTTGATCATGTGGCAAAGCTTTGTTAGAGCCCTAGCTAGGTCAGGCTTCTACTTCGGTTACATGGCCAAGTTTCAGGGAATTAAAGGAAGAACCCATCCGCCAGGCACAAAAGGAGGAAAGAATTCTAGCATACCTCAGTGAGAAGGTGCAATGGAGCTGGACCATGTGTTTCAAGCAAACTGTAGCCTTACAGAGAGTCGGCCCCTTAAAAGAGTGTGTACGATGCGGTGTAGACCCATCTGTCATGCCAAACTGAATGGAACCTTCATTGCTTACCTGTAACTGTACCTGAGTGGTCATCTGAGCATTCATACATAGGGACTCTGCTCTTCTGTGTAGGCCAGTGGTGACGAACCTATGGCATGCATGCTGAAGCAAGCACATGAAGCCCTCTCTATTGACACATGAGCCAAGTCACCCCAGCATCACCCCAGCAGCCAAGCATTGGATAACAGCGCACATAGGGGCCATGTGCATGCCAAATAGGGACATACAAAATAGTTGTTTGAAAAGTTCTGAATAAAATAATCCAGGTACATAGCACCCAATCCAGAGATTTGCAGGAACCAGACTGTTCTCAGATCCTCTCTCTGAAATGTTACTGACGGCTATGTCAAGTTAATGTGCATGAGCTGGGCAGCAGTACTAAAGGCTGCCTTTTCTTAAAATGCACTTGCAGGTCAGGAAAATATGCCTGGAAGAGATACTGAAAAACTTTTTTTTTTGTTAATAGACTGGACATTTCCACGTGCAATGGCCACCTTTTCCCTTTTCAAAACAGCAGTCCTCTAATACCACATCAGAGCTGCATTCCAAATCTAAAAAACTGCTTGAGACTGTAGCTTGATTGTGAGGGTAGGATGGGAAACCAACCAACTCAGAAAAAAGCCTTGTACATGTGCAAAGGTGTTTGCTGGACCGTAGGTCTTGAGTACTATCAACTATTTTAATTTAACCCGTCCAGAAAGCCACTTGGGCTAATGGGCAGGATAGAAATCAAATAAATAAATACATTCACATGCTTACCTTGGACGAATAAATTGCACTGCTGTTTTCTGATGAAGAAAGCAGAGAGACAGAAAATTGTTCTGGGACGTCACAGACTGCAGGGATTTTATACTGATTTGGGCCACAGGTAAGCAGAGCTCCTTCTGGAGAGTATTTGAGCACCTCCATTGTATAAAGACCAAGACCTTGTACAAAAGCACCTTCAATCTGAGAACATAATTATACATAAATCAGAGTTAATCTCCTGGGAGCATTTTAATTTGCCACTACAGATCAAGCTTAATTATATTAACATCCACGTAATTTGTCAGCAAATTTCACACACTAATCTGGTTTAGAAGTTTCAGAGTGTATGGTTATATATAAACCACACTATAGAGAGCCATTGTGGAGTGGAGGTTTGAGTGAGGGACTGGGGATCTGATCCAGGGAGTTGAGGTTTGAGGTCTCATTCAGCCGTGAAACTCACTGGGTGACTTCTTGCCAGTCACAGACTCTCAGAGCAATTACCCCAAAAAGTTGCTGCTGCTGTTGTTATAAAATACAGCTATGTAAGCCACCAGGGTTTCCAAAAAAGGCCCGATATAAATGCAATGTAATAATAATAATAATAAAGATAATATAAAACATTATACAGATACTGTAATAAAAATGGCACAGTTTTGTGTGGAGGTAAATCATATTTGTAAATTTAAAATAAGGTTTAAAAATGGAATGCTTTAATTTTAGCCAACATTACAAGATCTGAGGGCAAAACTCAACGTAACGTGCATGTATTTTAGGTCCTTCCAGATAAAGCTTATACAATCACACTACCTCATTCATGAAATTTTATGTGGGGTCCAAAGATTGCCACTTTCTGTTTGTAGCCCTTCTGTGCTCTCCCACTGCTGCTGCTTTTTTCCTACCACAAATAATCCATTAAGAAATAAAAGAATAGTTGCATGATGCATGTTGAGCAGTAGTGAAGCTAGGTCAGTTTAGAACCTTTGGGCTATTGGGCAGGATATAAAATGCATTTAATAAATAAAATAAAATAGCTTGATTTTAATGGCTTCGTAGGCTCCTCTCCTTTCCCTTTAGAAAGCCATGTGTTGTGAGGTACCCCCATTGCCTACTGCTTTCTGGATGGCCATTTGGTGGGGCCTGAACTGTGGGCCCATGAACTTTGGCCCCAGGGTTCCACCCTGGCTGCACCACTGCTTTTGAGTGTTAGCACTAGGAAACCTCCATCTTGAAGCTGCAGTAGTTGGGCAGCTTAGGGCCACAGTGGGGATGGGGGTGCAAGACAGAGAGAGCGGGATTTGCCCTACTATAGATCCAAACAGAATTGGAGATGGGTGGGCAGGCACACTGGCTGTTTGCAGGGGGAGGAAGGTACCTGAGGTTATGCTACAGTGAACATTTTTTTAAGAATTATATGCCATCAGAATATATAGTGGTGGCTTCATCAGGGACTAGGAGCCCCTGATCCAAGCTTTTTGAGATTATAAATAGCTTAAAATGTTGCTGTCTTTTTCCTGCTGCTGGTGGTCCCTTGATACACGCCTTGCTCTTTTACATGATAAAGGAAGTCTGGTTTAGAGGGGAAGAATCACATGTAATAGAGTCTGCAAGTGAAGTTGTATTGTTCATGAGAACTTTAGCTTACTGATGAGATGTGTGTGTCAAGGAATGTAAAGCACCAGCAGGAGTCTCAAAATGGGGCTTTTACCAGTGGTTTTCCACTGCCTTACATCCTATACCAGTGATGGCGAAACTTCTAGAGATCGAGTGCCCAAACTGCAACCCAAAACCCCCTTATTTATCGCAAAGTAAATAATAAATAAATAAAACCTGAATACTGAGGTTTTAGTTTAGAAAAAACAACCCACAGCCAGTCCAAGCAAATCCTCTCTCTCTCTCTCTCTCTCTCTCTCTCTCCCTCCCTCTCCCTCTCTCCCCCCCCCCCCCCCCCCCCCTTGGGAGCACACTGACCGGCTATGTGAAAGCTTGGATGGGTTGCGGCTAATGAGTCACGGCTCGTAACATCATTGCCTGGTGCCACTAATCCTTTCCGAGCAGGTGCATGGCCCCTATGTGCACTGTTATCCGATGCTCAGATGCTGGGGCAACTTGGCTCGCCTACCAACACAGAGGGCTCTGTGTGCCCGCTGCGGCATGCATGCCATAGGTTCACCACCACTGCCCTATGCCATCAATGCTCTGTGTGGGACAGGAGTGTGATCAATCTTTTCCTCTCCCTCCACCCACACACAACTATTATCTCTGGAAGACTACAGGTGACTTGAGAGCTTGTCTTCTGGAACTAATAGCCTCCATGGCAGGAGGGATTCTCTTTGGGAGTATGGTGGGGAAGAGAAGGATTAATCCCACTTTCCTGTAGCCATAACAAATACTGGGGTACCTATCCTGGATCATACTACCTGTCTTCGAAGCAGCTATTAATACTAGAAAACATACAATCCATTTAGTGTCACCCTGAGCTTTGTACTTTAAGAGCTTCACTTAGGATACTGCCCTTAACCTTGTTAAGGTCAGCTAATTGCAATAGTAATCCACCAGGCCCTATGAAATCCGAGCATCAGAACTTGCCCCTCTGTCTGAGCCATGCCTCATCAAAGCAAACCTTCACTGGCTAAGCTCCCACTTCTTCCCCTGTTCTGCTTCTATTTGGAACCAGACTGCTGTTTACCTATCCTGGATTGCACTGCCTGTCTTTGATCCTTATACATTAAAGTTGTGATTTTTGGAAGAAATTATGAATGTAATTCATGATAAACTGAAGGTTTGCATGCACATTGGAAAAAGCTTGATCTCTGAAAGACACTTAAAATGTTTGTGTAACAGATAATTTTGCTGAAGCAAAGAATGCTGTTTTGCTGAGCCCCTCCTCCTAAAGGATGGCCTTATGCCATCCTGTGGTTCTTCCAGGCAGGGGCCTGCTGGACCTCCTACATTCAAATACTGTGGTGTAGCTGTTCGTTCTTGCTCAGTTACTCTTTTTCTGGACAGAAAAAGGGATGGAAGAAGCAGTGGGAAAACTCTGCCATGTAGCAACATCATTAGCTACCCCGTCAAATACTGTGAATGAGGCAGGGTGACTGCATAATAAAAGTGTAATTTGAAAGGGCCTTGAGTCTTCAGTATGGAAAATATTATTAATCCAGATCAACATTCCAAACAAGCTATTGTTTGAATTTGCAATATTGCAAATATGATGATGTGTTAATAAAGGCATAAATGGTGAAAAGGCTAGGTTAAAAGAGAAACACAAAACAAATTATGAAAAAAATCCAATTTGTCTCCATTTAAAACATTATTTTATCATAGACTGAAAGTGGAAGTGAATATCTTGTATTATTTTTAATGTTTAAAACCATTTAAAATGATTTGTCATGTTTTACTATACATGGATCTGTTTGCTAACCAATATTAATTTACTCTGATTTTCCAAAATTCAGCTCTTTATTACTTTGAAACGTAATGAAATTACAGAACAAAAGTTATATTGATTTTCATTGTAAGCCGTCCCAAGTGGTGGATATGTTAGAAAAGCTTTTAATAAATAAATAAATAAATAAACTTGGCATGTATACAGTCCTGTTTCTTATGCACACACATACAAACATACAAACAGGGTAAGTTTCCACAGATCCAAAGTGTGAACTATCCGTAAGTGTGAACAGATGAATGTCCTCAAACGAGTACACACAGCAAAGACCTACAACTAATTAGGATCTGTACCTAGATGTTTAGGAAATTGTGTTTGCTTTTAACAGTTTATGTGGAACAATGATTTAGCCATAGCAAACATTTGCCTGAAATTCTAAAGCAGTTCTAAGAGGGGAAAGCATCAGCAATACTGGGTATTCAAAACATACAATAATTATAAACGTCTGATACATACCTGTCCTATATCTATAGCTGGATTAATGCTGCAACCAACATCCATAATGATGTCTGTCCTGATATTCTGTTTATTTTAAAAATGTATAAATTAATTGCTTTTTGTAAATGATTATAATGTGATGGTTAACTGTTCACAGATTATTTGTTTATATCAGTAGTCAGATAACACCAAGAAATGAAAAATCTATCTGCATTCATCTGCTTATCCTTTAATAAGACAACACTAAGAAAATGAAGGTAAAGAAGGATTTTTATGTTGGAGATGTTTTTAGTTTGATTTTATTATAAAATATCATGTTTTCTACTTTAAGGGATTTAGCTATGACATGTGTTTGTATGCCACAGAAAAGGTGGCATGCAACGACAATCTATTCAACAGCAAAATATGCCTCAAGACATGCCAAAGTTCTTGAGTTCACAAAAGGTAGTTTTTTTATTTTTATACTAAATTTTATTATAACATAATTAAAAAACAATGCCAGTATAATAGATATACAATTTTTAAAAAACACAAAATACAGGGAAAAAACTATATATACGAAACAAAACAAATAAACCACAGTCAGTGCACCCTCCACCAGGACCATGGCTATATGTTTCTATCATTTCTTTCATCTTCCTTACTTCTGCTTCTAACTTTCCACTCTTTCAGGAATACCCCCTTCCATCCAAAATTGTATTGAATCAGCTGAAGGTTTAGTACCCTTCCCTTTTATTAAAACATATTCAATGAATGAACCCATATATCATTAAAATCATTTTTCTTTGTGAGTCCTTTTTTCACCCTAATCCCACACATCAACTTTATTATCATTAACTGCTACATGTATTCCAAATTTCTTTATACCATTCAATTAACTGAAGATCCCATTTCTCCTTCCAGTTCTTTGCTATTATCAATTTTGCTGCTGTTACCAAATTTTTATAATTCTTTAATGTTCTATTTCAATTCCTTTTCATAAAATATTAACAGTAATGCTGTTTCAGGATCTGCTTCAATTTTTAAATTCAGTATCTTATTCATCTCTTTTAAACCCATTATCCAAAATTTCTTAATATTTTCAGATCTCACCACATATGGAAATAGGTACCCATGTTTCATCCACATCTCCAACATAAACTTCCTTACTTACTTTCTCTTTGGTGTTAGGCAAAGACCTTCCTTTAAAAAATATTTTAATAACCAATGCCATAGTACCTTTTGTTTTGTATTTTTGCTTGTATTTTATTGTTGTTTTTAATGTGTTATTAAAAGATCTTTGTGACCTTCCTCTTTGTGACAGCCTTTGAGGTACTTACAGAGGGTATCATGTCCCCCCTCAGTCTTCTCTTCTCAAGGCTGAGCATGCCCAGTTCTCTCAGTCTCTCCTCATAGAGCAGTGTTTCCAAACCCCGGAACATTTTTGTTGCCCTCCTCTGAACCCTTTCTAATTTACCTGCATTTTTCTTAAATCTTGGTGCCCAAAACCTAATGTACCTCTCAGAGCTTTTGTGAGGATAAAATGGAGAGGAAGCTAGTGTAAGCTGCCTTGAGATCCTTGAGAGGAAAGTGCAGGATATAAATGTATGAAATAAATCAATGTATGTCTATTAAAACAGACTAAAATGATATGTCAGTACTTTTTAATGATTTGAAACCCAAGCATTTTCTTTCCAACTCACCCCAGAACACTGGGATAGATTAATAAGTGCTTCAAAGCAAGTCAGAACATTGCTCCATTTACCTCACCATTGCCAACACTGACTGGCACAGGTTGTTTGGAGTTTCAGGCATGAGTTTTCCTACTCTATCTGGAGATGCAAGGACGGAACCTGGAGCTTTCAGTATGAAAATAAGCTATCTAGTCATAGCCTTCCCCACTGAACACACAGGGCACCATGAGTACTGAAGGTGTCTTCCACCACTGCCAAGTGGAGACTGCTGGCTAACACATACTGCAACAGAAAGTTGCAATATGTGTTAATGCACAAAGTGCTTAATTGATGAAGCATTTCTTGACAGGGAGCTTAACGACAACCTTTGTTTTTTGGGGGGCAAAATAACTGTTTACTGATGGGAACCAAAATTGCCTCTCTGGATTTGTGGCTCTTGGGTGATGATCAGCACTGTAATAATCCTGTAAACCCCTCTGAGAAGACATGCCTTGTACTCAGAGCTTCCTCAAATCACTCCCCAGTGTCATTCCAGCTTGCATCTCTGTCCCAGATTATTTTATCATGGCCACACAATAAAAGTTCTGTTCATATTTGAATTAATAAATATGAGTCCGAACATTTACTCATGTAATTACCTTATGATCTCCTGTTAGACAGTCTATTTCAACTTCTGAACAAGCAGCTCCATAAACAAAATATTCAAATGGTCGGCCTTCCCCTTTTTCCCAATCCATGTTTGTATCATAACCTCTGGTGAATCAAAATGATTGCAAATCTTGTTAAGATCCCTGCTATTATAAATGTATGCTAATGTACAAGTTAAATAGCAATCAATTTAAATAACCACAATATAATCATAATGCCAATAATGAAAAATAGAATAATAGTTATAGCAGCACTGTGTTTATTTGACTTGTGCCATACTGTTTTTCTAAAGACCTCAGAGCATCTTACATGGGTTATTTCAGTCCATGCTGCAGTACGATCTCCGCCCAATAAAACCTGGTGAAGTTGAAGAGAACCGAACACCTCCATGGGCCACATGGAAAGTTTGTGAGGGTTTCTGATAGGATGCCCACATTCGCTTTAAATAATTTCCATGCATGAAGGATAAAACATGCATGTTGGCTGCTCCCCGAGGCAGCTGTTGAGAAGATAAGTTTTCTCCATATTTAATGCACGTACTGTTTGTGTTCATATCCCACTGAATCAGAAATGGGGGACTCTGGACATGGAGCTTCTCTGTCCAGCCTGTAGACATTTCTCTTCCAATCCTTACCCTCCATCTCCAAAGAAAAGGAATCCTTGCTATTATCTGTGGTCATTCTTTTGAGATAACAGCAAGGATTGCCTCTCATATGCTGCTTGCCACCTCAAATGGGATGGCAAACAGTGTGTGAAGGGGCACCAAACTGAGGGTGCAACATTGTGGCTAGACTGTGGTCAGAGCCCTATTTTGTAATCTATTTTATCAAAGAAACTTAAACCAAACCATACATTATAATAAATGAAAAAACATGCTTAAACCAACTACTTCTGTTCTGAAGAATGAATGAGTGTGAGGTCCCAATCCAGAATGTATTTCTATTCCGAACTGGACCTCTAAATCAGTTTTCTGCAAAAAGCCCACCCCCATTCTAGGCTGCTATTTGCCCTTGAGGTTGCTGTCTGCAGTATATCATTCACTGAATGTAATCACAACAGGGAGTATTAAACATCCTTGTTCAGCTGAGCTGCATTACAATCCAAGCATATTCAACACAGCTTTATAGATTGCATGGCAGATACATTTCCTCTGCATTTAGAATGTATTTTACAATAGGGGGTTGTGACATGAAAGGAATGTAAGCACAAAGATTGAAGGGAAAGTGCCAGTAGCAGAAAGTGTGAGGTAACCTTCCGAATGCATACCACATAGGCACTACTTTGATTATTCCCCTACCCCTTCTCCTTTCTGCACAAGTCTCAGATGCTCCAGAAGGTTCAGTGTTATAAATATTTTAAAGACAATTATCATTAGATTTTATGCTTAAACTCTGTTTTTCTAATAGGAATTTTAAGGATAAACGTTTCAATTACCTGAAGAAGCCAGTAGCTGAAAGACTAATGCTTTGGCGAAAAGCTTGCTTAACCTGTGAAGAAAGACCTTCTTAGGAGAACAAAGAGATATTTTCTTAATACTACTGCAGTAGAACTACAAATTCAATTTTGTTCTTTAGACATGATAGTATAATAGTAAACAATGGATTCAATGGAATTTACATGAGTATGCAGCTTAAAGTAAGATAATCTAAATTAAATCTAAGCTAATCTATGAATGTTTTTTCAGTTTTTTAAAGAATCATCTCTACTGCTTTTTTTACTTAACCAACATTTTGTTTTGCTTACAGTGAAGATATACATGTTATTACATGGACATGATAAATGCAGTTTGATTATAAAATTTGTATACCAACAGATGTTATAATAGCATACTGAAGTTCTGAAGTTATTAAGGACACATATATCACTGATAGTGAATATTTTGATTTCAAGAGGGATAATGGGACCACTTAAATATATTTTCTGATAGGACGTTGATTGTCTATGGTGGTTTCATACATAGAATATTACCCAGTCTTTCCATGTTCCCTCAGGGTTTTTGTCCATGATGTCCTTAAGCCGCTTCATAAGAGTTTCACATGCATCCTGTGAATGAGAAACAGTAAGAAAATGAGCATTGCAAAGGAAATGAGTAATCCTTTTGCTTTGAAGTGTACACAGAATCTGGTTCTCCTGAACCGGAATGGGGAAAGAACAGCTGGCGGAGGCCCCCGTGGAATCAGTGCCACACAAGCTATTGCCAGTTCTTTTTCATAGGATTCATTGGCTTCCAGGATTCAGCAGCACGCCACGTGAGCAGTGCTGACTCGAGGCAAGGACAAGGATGATAGTTGTGCAAGGTGCCAAACAATATGCATTTCCTACATGCACTGGGGGAAAAAACAAAGCAACTGAGAAGATGATAATCTATGATTACTCATCTATTTTACTGTGTTTTTTTACATGCAATATATTAGTGCTGAGCATCTAACTTCTGATTTCCACTACACACACACAATGCGAAGAGATGAGGCAATACCCTTGAGCTCCACATTGCCCATGCAAAGAAGTGCAAGAAAATGGCTCCTGATACCAACCAAACAGGCAAATCAGTTTATTTTGGTGTAGCAGGCCAGAATGCTCAAATTTCAAGTATTCTGTTGACATAAATAGCTAGCTGAAATATCTTATTTCTTTAATTACATTCGGTTTGTGTTTTGCATTGTTCAGCAAAGTTTACTAGAAACGTATTTTTTGTTCTCTGAAGAAATGCTAGTAAAATAAGAATGAAAAGTATCAATAAAATTAGCAAAGCTAGTTCTTTCTAATCCAGATTTGGTAAGAGGTTTGAAATGTATCTTTGCAAAGAACATTCTGAATACTATAGAAACAATTTCAAAAGACCCCTCAGAGTATTTCAAATTTTATAATTTCAAAAAGCTTGAAAATGCATGTATAGTTCGCCTTCCATTTTCTTATTCCTTCCTGAATAATAATCCTCAAAATCTTTGTCCTGTGTTAGTACCTCAAGACCAACCAATCCAAATTAGATCTAATGTAAGCAATATGCAATTCTTGGCCCAAAGAGATACAAAGAGGCAATATCATGTTTTACTTGGTGCCAAAAGGGAAGAAATGAATGGGAATATACCTAACCTTAACTGCCATTCCATTGATGTCTGTACCAATAGAGGCTGCTGTAGGTCTTGTATTAGGCACAGTCACTGTACTTGTTTCACAGATAAAAATATAAGATGCTGGTATCCTTAATTCACGACTGGCAATCTGTTACAAACACAACAGGTAGTCATGCTGAGTTGGATTATGACTGAATAATATGTCTATAAAGGCAGCCTCATTACATCCAATTAGTTACCTCCCTGTGGTACCCTGATCTTGCCCAGCAACAAGAAAAAAGAATTTATAAACTACCAGAAAAATGCAATATTAAATCCACAAGGTCCATTAGATTGACATGTAATGTGTAGTATATGGTTACTTCTTACCTGTATGATTTTGGTGTGAATACCTTGACCTAATTCAACACCACCATGAGCTACCAACACATGTCCATCCAAGTAGATATGAACAAGGGCTGCAGCCTATAAACATTAGATTAGGAGACGGGTAATTTCTGACATTGTAAAAAATACAAAACATGAAATGATTTTATTTCATAGAATGGTGAACTGAAAGGAAGACATTGGTGTGTGTTAGTTTTAGCAAAATCCCAACATACCTGTGTAGCAATATAACAATTCTTTATTCAGTTGAGAGACTGACTAATAAACATGGAGATACACAAAACGCACATTCCAGGGAGTAGCTGTGTTCATTTGTTACTGCAAACATGAAAGAACGTCTTTCGTGTCTGAAGTATATCCTCATACACAGTATATGTATGCATATGTGTACTCCGTAAATATTCACTGTGTTTATCATTTATATATTTGTGCTCTGCACAGAAATGTCACAGGCCATGGAGTTGGATCCATGCTTTACAATGTTTTTCTTAATCTCCCATCTATGTATGGCTGTACATAAACACATGTGTGTGCATACACACGGCGGAGGGGGATCACCTGGCCCCACTGTTTACAAACAGCCGTGACATCCAAGAAGCAGTCTGTCACATTTCTATGCAAAGTTCAACTATTGCAAGCAGTAGGTGACAGTTACACAATATTCCTAGCCTTTCTATGCTGCTAGTTCACAGTTTTCTCTGTGTGAAGTTATTTTGTTGGACAATAGTGATTTTGAACTTACCAGCACCGTGTCCTGAACGTTTTTTCACAAGCTTCTGAATCTTGCAATATTTATGCCAGATTTGTGTTCATTTATTGTTTTGAGTAGAGAACAACTTTACTGTATAGCATATAAATGCTATATTTATGTCAGAAGGACATTATTGGTAGATAAAGGCATATGTCACATTAGATGTTCATTGAATTTTGGACTCATCCTCCAGTGTGTTTGTCATCACCTGCCAACAATGCCCTCGAGCTGTCAGTGCAGAACAAACATGCCATTCTCTACACAAAAGGAAAAACAAAGGTCAGAGATTTAACATAAATATAGTAACATCCAGGGACCTATCTGAGAACATTTCATAGCCTTTATTTAGCCTTACTGTTTAATTGAGGGTAATATTTCATGAATCTGATGGAAGTTATGTATTTATTTAAAGTTTTTATATGTTGTCTCAATACTAAAAGTCTCTGGACGGCTTACAAAAAATGGGCTCAGGAATCTGTGCCAGGATAAAGCTGCAAGGGCCGCATCCAGTGGAGCTGTATGCAGTGTCGAATGTTTGTACAACGGAGGTTTAGTACTTCCAGAAGTAAACAAAATGTTCATCTACGAAACTCCATAGATCAGTAGAGCTTGCATGAGGAAACTTTGTCATCTTGGCCCAATCAAAACCAGCATTTTTTAAAAATCATTTTGAGGCTCCCTCTGGGATGCACTAAATTTTGTCTGCTGAAACAGTTGATCCCATTTATGCAACAGAGTCCACAGAAATGAGCCACGTGCAGAACTGAATCAGTAGGGACATAAGAACCTGTTGGATACTGCTTTTAGTCTTTAAGATATTATAGGACACATTTTTTTCTTACCTGCAAATTACATGGTATTTTCCAAAGTACAGGTAATTTAGATCAAATCCAGATGATGTATGTCCTTAGTGTTTGAATGGGGCACTTTCGTTTCAAAATATTTTGTGGCTTGAAAGTATCACATAATATTTTAATTGCTAATTTTTAAAACAGTAATTTCTTGATGAAATATTATGAAATTGTCTTCAGACATTGATATTGTGTGCAATAACTTTAAATATATCAGGATAAACCATTTGAGAGGATTACAGTTATGATGTTTTTCAAACCAACCTGATTTAGAAACATTGGCTCAAATCCGATTGAATATTTTAGTGGGATAATAGCAATCCCTTTCTTTCTCCAGTAATTGTGCGTATTAAATTCTTCCACATTCTTTTTCCTACTGTAAAAACATGACTTCTCCATGCATTCATTCCAACATCGTAGCAAGTTCTTTGCGTCAACTTCCTGTTTGTAATGTGTTTTGTCAAACTTTTTATACATGTTAATCTCTCTAATCTGAAATGCAAAGGTAAAGGAAGCAAACAGTGTTATTGGATGGCCACTAGCGCCAGCGCCCAAATCCTTCATTTGGAGCCTGGAATCTCCAGGAGGGCATCTTCCCCACCACCCTGCTGAACATGAACACTTGCTCAGATACAGGGGCACTGGTAATCTCTGTTGCATCTGATCCCCCTGGATTAGCTTGTGTTTCATCCTTGTTGCAGCTTTTTCCTTTTTACATTTCCCTGCCCCCACAGATTATGAAATCTGGATAGACAGCTGGCTTTCACGATCCCAGTTTTGACAGCCATCAACAGCCCCTTCAAAGTGTCCAAAGTGTCGTAGGGGCTGGGTATGGCTGATAGAAACCTTCTTTGTTTAAAAAAAATAAAAAGGGGTATGAAAATTTGTTCAAGAGAGTTCTTCACTTCTGTTTTTTCAAAAAATTCGCCACACTTGTGCCACTGCAAGCTTTTGTATTTGCATGAATGGAGTGATTTAAAGCCTCTGCTTTGACCAATATTCAGGGGGCACCTATAGCCAAGGTGCAACATCTGCAAACCACGGATCTTGCCCAGAAGATACTCCCATTTCAGAGGGAGCTTTGCATATGAATATGGGATATTTGGGTATGCCAGGACCCTCTTTGTGGCAAGTCTATATGCTGGTGCATATTTTGCACTTCTTCCTGGGCCTCTTGTGTGCACTTTGATGGCTATTTGTCAAAAATCTGGGTCTCTTTAAAGTGGGGTTCTGACTGGGCAATAGTTTTTGTTTCAGTTGGGAATATTACAGCCATAGGTCCCAGGCAAGAATACTCACTCCTGGGTCAAAACTCCCCTTTCCAAGGGACCCAGAGTTCTGAAAGTTCTGAAAACAGCTTTTCCTTATTCAGGCTTTTGCAGAATGTGCACTGCTATGCAAGTCAAAATATGGATGTGGTTACAAAGGGGGTGTGAATCAAGAAACAAGCTTTTCCATGTAACGATTGCTCCTGCCTTTGAGTTCTGTTGAAGACTGGTCATGTGACTGCTACAAGCAATCAAAGGGCGGGTGTGATTTGGAGCCTCTTCTGGGCAAAGACCAGGGTTAATACCTGCAGCTCTTTGGCAGACCATTGGCAGAAAGGTCTGTACCTTTCCCCACTTAAGCCTTCAGAGCTCCACACATGCAGTTCACAATAGTTACACAAGTGTAACTATTTTTAAAGTACTTTTTTGTTCAAAATTATAATAAAGAGTTGTGATGGCCATGGACAGCCTCTCCAAGGTGTTTCTTGAGTACTCTGAAGCGGCTTGTTGGTGGCTGTCAAAACTGGGATCATGAGTGTCCATCCGCATTTCACAATCTATGGCTAGAGGCAGCAGTAAAGGGGAAAAGGGGTCACAGCAAGCCTGGAACATCTCACAATTGTGGCTGGCAGGGGAGGAAGTCAGCTGCCACCAAGTGCTGCGTGGGCATGGTGGGAACAGCTGATGCTGACAGTGACCTTGGAGCCACTTGGGAAAAACAGCAAGTGGGGGGGGGGTTGTCACTCTTGCCAAGTGACTCCATAGCTGACTCCCCATTCACATGATGGCGTTAGTTGCTCAGGTGGCCTAGCAACTAATTACGGATGCAGCAATCCCTACTACAGCCCATGGGAAAATCTGTTCAGCTTTGTACAACGTGACAACCCATTGAGGGTTGTAACCCAGGATGAGCTATCCTGTCGTGTGCACCCACTCAATGTGCCATGTGAAGTGATAGTTCTTGGTTCAATGTCCAGGCAACTGAAACATGCTTCCAAGGTTGGCAATGTTACAGGTGTGGCTGAGATGTATGTCCTAAAAGCCTATGTGTAAAGTGTGCTGGTTCAAGTGCATCTTTCTTATATTGATACAATTCACTCTCAAAAGTTTGAGAAGCACTAGACTGTGGCATATCTTTTGTACAGACTTCCCTTTTAAGGGCAGTGCTGGGTAGCAAAAACATCCAGGGGTCAGACCACAGGGCAGGAAAAAATGCAGAGATCTGCATATGCTAAAATACATATGCTCTAAAGTCAGTGTATGCATGTGTCTATATTCTAAGGATGCCAAATTTGTGAAAATGGATGTATGGACAAGGTAGAGGTGGCTATTTGATTTCAGGGTGGGGGGAATCTCAGGTGGAAAGGTTTAAGGGGAGGGGGCTGCAGGAGATGAAATGTGTGGCTTTTCTCAACTTGGGGCAGGGGGAAGAGATAAAGGGAAAATAAGTTGTGTCAAGCCAAAAATGACTCGCACTGGTGGTGAGGAGGTAACTCTGCCTTCCTTGTGGTGTCTGCTAAGATATCCATGGGAGGACCAGGGCAGCGGGGAGGCGTCCCTAAGGGTGAGCTCAGTTGTCTGTCAAAGAGCACAGTCCAGGTATAACATAAGGACAGTCTTTATGTGGAAGAAGAAATTCTCTGTTGAATCTTCATATACAAGCAACAATTCTGTGTAGAAATGTAAAAAGTATACCTGCACTTGGTTACCTTTTCTGGTGGTAAACCTGTTTGGATTGCTATATCTGTTATCCATGTTTCTGTAACAAGAGCTGATTGAGGAAAACCAAATCCCCTGAAAGCTGTGTTGGATGGCAAATTTGTTTTACAGGCACTTCCTCGACATACTAGGTTGGGAATCTTGTACGCGTTGTCCATTCTTAGCAATGCATTCTCTATTACCTTTAGGAAAGCAAAAATAGAATTAGTTGACTTTGTTAGGCATGTGTGCATATATTTATATATAATTTGTATTGTTTTCTTAAAATGAATAAGATACAGAAAGAAAAAGGGCATAAGAGAAGAAGTGAAATAAAATTGACAAGGGAGCTTAAACCAATATAACTAATATATTCATAACTTACAAATTTCCAAAGAGATGAAACATTTCTTTTTGTCAATCAATAGTTTATTGAAGCTCAAAAAGAAAGACTATAATTCTCTGTACTGACAAATTTTCCAGTCACTTCAAATCAATTATAAATCATCCACATTTTAATGAGCTTGCTTTTACATCATATTAATTATACTGGATGTAACAGAATTTCCATTTATCATTAAATTCTTCAGTCAGATTTCTGTTTATATAATTAGTTAATTTTTCCATCACTGCATACTTAGCCAACTTATTTTTCTAATCTTCAGTTGTTAGGGATTCTGGTGTTTTCCATTTAAATGCAATTGTAATTCTTGCTGCAGTTATGTATTTGAATAACTCTGACATGTTCTTTGAAAGAATCTCTGGCATTATATTTAAAAGCATATTCTTAGGACTCATAGGAAAATTAGTTTTAAAGGTTTTTTGTATTTCTGCATGTATCAACTTCCAAAATCTTTTAATTATTTCTCAAGTCCACCATGGAAGGTAGAAAGTCCCATTTATTATATTTTCATTGTAATTTTAATCTATTTTTTCTTTATCTTTTAGGTTAATGTACCACCAAAAAAAATATCTTGTATCAATTTTCTCTTAGTGCTTGACTGGCTGTGAATGTAATGCCGTTCTTCCATAAAGCTTCTCATTGATGGGGTAGCATTTCTCCAAGGTTTTGCATCCAAATAGTCATACATTTCTTATCTTGCTGATTTTCAGTGTCAAGTTGAAGTAATTGCTGATAAAGCCTTCCTAACCCTTTTGTTGTGTAATAGCTTTTCAAAATCTGTCAGGTCTCTTTACAATGCCTTCCCCTGACTGGATTTTCCCTTTCAGTCTTGAAAACAATTGGTAGTAAACAGGCCATTGTATATTTTTCCCTTCATTTTTTAGTGGCTGCCAAGATTTAACTTGTCCGTGTTGATCCATCATCTCCCCATAGGTTATTAAATTATTATTTTTCCTTAACTGTTTTCCATATGCTTCAACTGGGGACATCAGAGGAGAAATCGGAGGACTGTTTCTTTTTCTTATAGAATACAAAGTTTTTATTAGGCCACCTCTTAATACATCATTATCAGCATCAAACATGTGTGTATATTGATTAGTTGTGTTAGGTGCCTGACTGCAGAGCAAACAAACAGAAGATTCCTTTCTTGGGAGAAATCTCACACTCATAACCTTATAACCCTAAACTACCTGAATAATTTTGTTGTGAATATCGTCAGCAATTTTGTCTCCATTATGAGCCAAGGGCACAGGCCCATTCACATAGACATCTCCAGTGCAGCAGCCTAAAATTTATTTATATCAAAGACTGACTGATAGCCCTCCTTTTGGAGTAATCCTTCCCAGGGTAGCATATAAAAAAACAAAGACAAAAAAAATAATAAAGCAATTAGGAGAGCATACGAAATGTAACAGTTAAAACCAGATGGCGCAACAGCTCAAAAAAGTCCCAACAATTATAGGTTATTGCAAACAGACAAGTTCTTAGGGCCCTCTCTAATGATGGGGCTCAGTGGATATGATTTCAAACAGGGCTCTACAAGTGGCAGTGGTGTGGTAATACCATGTGGGCCCAGTCCTTTGGGCCCACTAGCCTAATTGTTCTTTCAGACTCAACCCATTAGAGCTTTACAGGCCACTGCTAGCAGTCCAAGTAGGGCCCAGAAACAAGCTGGCCACAGATGCAACTGCCAAAGTCTAGGTGCCGTGCGATGCAATTGCCCAGCACCCACTCGTACTGAAAGAAGCAGCGTTTTGTTTGTACCTGTTGAACTTTCTGAATTGACTTTAAGGGCAGTCCCCCTTTGAGTGCATTATCCAGCCTGGATATCACTAGAACACGGATAACTGAAACAAGATCTACCCTCTCCAGATAGGCGAAGTACCAGTGGGTGGGGTACCAGCCTAAGTTACCAAAAATCACTCGTGATCACCTCTGCCCCACAAACTTCCATAGCTAACACCAAGTCCTAAGGCCCAGTCAGCTGTCCAAAAAGTTTAAGTGGCCCTTACTCTCCTACCTGAAATGGAAATTTAACTGGATTTTGGTGAATGTGGCTACAAGGCTGCTTTATTAGGGTTCCCGATTATTCAGAGCTCTGTAAGTTTGGAAGGACTGCCTTATCAGGGTGCTTATCAGCATGCAAATTTCTGCAACAGCATTCTCCTGCACCCATTTAAATATTCAGACCTTCCTGGGAAAAACGGGGAGGTGGAGGGGTCAGGTCTACAGTGTGCATTCCTACTTCCCTCCGCGCTTACACTTTTTTGAACAATTAAATATACTCAACCAACAGAACTCCCAGACTTAGTTCCTCAGACAAAGTACAACTCCATCTAGTTCTGGTTGTAAGATGCATCTGGACTACCTGGGTTCCCTACCTACAGTGTTTCTGTGTTGTGTGGATTAAGTTTCCACTTCTTCAGCCTCATACATCCTAAAAGCATATCCAGAGACTGCTTCAACAGTTTTATAGCCTCCCTGACATGAACAGGTTAAAGTAAAGGCCACATCAGAAGTATGGATTGATTGACTTTGGAAGTAAGGTTTTCTAAATGTTTAAAAGTGACAAAACTTATTGCAAGCGATTCATCTGGTGTACATCCAGCGTTACTGTAGTACCTCATATCCAGAGCCACAATTGTGCCATCATTCATAAAGCCAACCTACAAAGTTTACAGTTGTACTCAGCTTTTAAAAATTATTTACTTTTTACAACTAAGTTTAACCAGATATCAACACCAAATTAAAAAACATTAGTTTCACATTTGCAATGGCAGATCTGTGAGTTTGTACAATTGGGAAAAAAGAGGGTAGCTGTGTGTTCTTTTATGAAGGTTGAAATTGATTTTGGTTCCTGTCAATTAGGCAGAGTTTGCTGTTTAGCTCTCCCTTCCTTCCTGTCAGAGTTGGTCCATGGTTTGCCTCTGAGGTAAAATATCGGATAAACCCTTATCTGTTCAGTTTTAAAAGTTTTTTTTGTCTTCCTCTGGTTATAAAAATTTTGATTTTGTATAAAATATACATTTATATCATGCCCTATCACAATTTAACCCAGAATGTTTTGCAGACTACAGCATTCCTGTCTCTGGACTCCACTGGCTGGGGCTGACAGCAGTTGAAGTCCAAAACATCTGGAGGGTACCAGAATGAGGAAGCCTGTAGAGTTTTGCCTGTAACTTTTCCAAAAGTACTCAGTACACTGTTATTTCTTCCTTCTCCATGCAGTATCAAAAGCAATGGAAAAGGAGGGGAAAGAAAATATAATTTATTTCAACTTCACAGACATGTGCTGGAGGGGCAGCAGAACATGATTAAGGATTAGGATTAAAGACTGCAGCCTTATTTTAAGCATACTTGCTTCAAAGAAAATTTCACTGAGTTCAGTGGGCCCCTCTTAGTAACCATGCACAGAATTGCAGTGTTACATTTATTTATTTAGTTCCCACCTTTTTTTCCTTTCAAGGAACTCAAGGCAGCTTGCATAAATGCCCTCCTCCTCTCAGTTTTATCCTGACAACAACTTCGTGAGATCAGTTAGGCTGAGAGTCCGTGTCTGGCCCAAAGTTACCCAGTGAGCTCCACGGCTGAGCAGGGGCTGGGACCTGGAGCTCCTGGATTCCCAGTACAACTCTTTAGTCCCTGCACCACACTGGCTTTCAGTGGGTAAAGTAATGTTTTCTGCAAATGCACAATTTGATTAGGTTCAGGTGCAAAGGACTGCTTCATTATTGGAAATAATTAAATCAAAAAGGCTTTTGTTTGTATCATTTTTTATTTTACTCACTTTGTACCTGCCAAGGAAAGGATGCCTACCCCCAGTTATTAACATATCATCTGCTCGATCTAGAATACAACGGACTGCATGACCAGTTCTGAAAAGAGATGTTAAATTTACTTGAAGTAGAGCTATAAACAACCAGCTAAATGCATTTGTTTCAACTGGAATTGAGGTATTGGCTTCCCAGTCTGGAGCAACATCTAGGGGCTTGGAAAATCAGAAGCTTCAAGGATCCCATCTGACCTGGACATCAGAGATCATAGGCTTCAAAGGATGAAGCCTAGAATTCCACTTCCATGAAAAACCTGAAGGAATTAGCAGCAGACTAAGGATGGCTTACTGCTGTCCCCCAATAATTCTTTTGACCCTATGATCAGTTCCTCAGACCCAAGCTTCCCTCCTTTAAACAGCATTTTACCAGAAATATTTATAAGCTGCAAAAGTGAAGTCTATAGGACATGCTTTAAGCAGAACTCTCTTTTGAACCATCTTCAGTTCTCCTGAGAGAAGAATATAGATGGAGGAAAGATGGCTTGAGGACGTATCTTCTATCACAAGAAGTTTGAACCAGTAATAAATTGAACGAATGGACCAAAATCATCTCATAATATTCAATATGGTGCCTCAGTTATGGCCTATTGGTGTCATCAAAATATTTTTCCCAGCATAAGAGCTTGTGATAATCCTGGCCTTCACTCTCTTAGACGAAGTGATGACAAGCATTTGATGAGACAGAAAATAATCCAAGAAAAATAGTGGATGTCTGGATTTTGCTTCATGAGCACCATATTTGGCATTGGACAGAAACTGTTCCTCAGATAAAATTGATCACTTATTTTAATTTCCTGTGTAGTGTGTAACTTGGCTTACTTGCTAGTTACTTAAAGGGCAACACTCAAGCTATTTCTGAGTTACTGTATCATTATTCATAACTGATTGTTACTGTGCATTTTCCAATTTAAATCAGGCTTTTAAGCTACATACGTACTTGTTAGCTGCCACTGCAGTGACAGCAGCGAGAATAGCAGGTTTAGTTACTTTCCCACCAAATCCACCTCCAACTCGTTTTACATGGCACATAATCCTATTGCAGGGGACATTTAAAACAGAGGCCACCAGCTCCTGTAAGATCAATGCAAAGATATATAAAGAGGTATTACATATACTGGTTCTTTTTGGACCCTGGCTTGAATCCCACTGACGTCACATTTGGCAACCCTTGGCCTTTGAGCCAATAGTATCATTCGCATCAAGGTGATTTTAAGGAATTTAGATGACAATCAGGATGCAGACAGAGAAACTGTTTGTCAGTGAAGCACAGTTGGGGTAGACTAACAGTTGCGTATAGCTGCACCATGTCCCACAAAGCTTACTGGTGCAGCAAGTTGCTTTCTGGGAGTGTCTCATACAAGTCTTATGGTCCCATAGAAAGCATCAGTGCAAATTATACCAAGGGCACTCTCAGATGAGGCTTTTCTGGTGCCATATACTCGCTTCATTCACAAAGTTTTAGGAGAGCTCTTGACCTTAGCATCTTCAGCTTAAACATTCAATTGTTTCCTGGTGCCTCTTTTATCTTTTTTTCTTACCACAGGTAATTGATTAAAGTAAATGCAAAATTGGTGCTTAATGCCTTTGGTAATGCCAGGAACCCTTCATCTGGAAGCATTCAGAAGCTGACACCAGGGGAAAGAGCCAAGCCCCAGGAGGAGGCAGAAACCTCCAATTTCATCTTGGTTGCCAGGCATTGAATTACACAGGAAAAGGCTCCAAGAGAAGGGGAAGTTAAATGGTTTTTGACTTTTGGTCATTCAGTTAATACCCAGAGGCTTGGGACTCAGAGTCCTTTAAGGTCCCTGAAATATGAACTCTGGAGAGAAATATATGGACCTGACCCAATAATCTTACACAGCACCATGAGGCTGAGAAATTAGGTTTTCTTTAGAGGACTGGAAGTACTATGAGAGAAGCATAACTACCCTTGACATAGACAAATGTTTCTTCCATACTGCCATTTTCATTGGTCAAACGAGTTTTTGAAAAACTACAGAACTTGAAAAATCTGTTTACTGGAAGCATTAGAGGGTGAGTAGATATACAGTTGGCACTGAGGTCTCACTCTTTCCATTCTTTACAGTCTGAAAGAAGCCCCAGAACTATTGCTTTTCTCTTGCGAACATTTGTGTGAAACTGCTTTTCCTTTTAGCTTCATTCTCCCAGGCAGAAAATGAGGTGGTAAACCTGTGTTTGGACCATACTACTTTGGACTGCAGAGGGGGGGCTTGCATAAAGGAATGCTTCCTCATAGGGTTGGAGGAACAGTTCCTGTAGTTATACTGTTATTAAGATTACACTCTCACTGTTACCTGAGTAAATGCTGGATTCTGTGAGGACACATAAATATCTATTTCTTTATCTTCTCCCTTTGGAACAACAAGTACACTTTGAGGTTCCATGTAGAAATGCTCCTGTCCCCCAATGTGAATTTCCCCTGTCCCAAAAGTCAAAGAGAAAATTAATCAGTGAGGTTTAAAACATAAAGTAACTTAGAAAAATTATGCTGAAAACTTCGACAGGACAATCTTTATTTTATATTTAGAGGAATTCCACCAGCATCAACTTGTTGGGAGTTAAGTCTCAAACTTGAGTCTCCTGTGTATTGTTAGTGCATATTTCTCCATGTCCATATAGAGGAGTACCTTCTTCCATCAAACCAGATTTGACATGGATTATGTGGATGCTTTTAACTTGCAGTTTTTCGTTTCCTGCATAAATGGGATCTTGGGAAAGCCTCAGCAGCCCTGGGATGGTGAGGGATGGGGAAATTTAACCTTTTCTCTCCTTGCTACATTCCCAACAAAAGTGCATAGCTGAAGATTCTGCTTCCTTTGAAGTGCAAATTGCAGCTTCAAAAATGTGATTCACAGCTGTAGAGAGAGTGGAACCTTCCTTTTGCTGTGTAGCATTTATACAGAATTACCTTCAAGAATATGATCCACTGTATCAAATCCATCCTGAACATTTCCTAGTTCTAGTTTTCTTTCTGGATCAAAGAATGACTTGTGCTCGATTGCTTCCTGCAGTTGGGGTGGTAAATAATATATATATGTGGGATCCTCCTTTGAATATTTGAATACTTTGGCAGCCAGCTCTGGGAAAGTTAGCATGGTGCAATAACACTAACCTGTCAAAACTGTTGAAAACAATTTACTGAATTTGACAACTTTTTCATCATTTGCTTAACTTTTCAGTGTGTTGCATGCCGTATAGAAATTACCTCAATAGTCAGAAGAACTGGTTCCAGAGCGTCATATGATATTTTTACTTTTGTAGTCGCATGCTTTGCATGAGCAGCTGAATCAGCAACCACAGCACAAACTATCTGACCCACACAGGTTACCTGAAAAATATATGAAATATTATCTGTGCACATGCAGAGAAAGACAAAATGAACCTTAATGCAGCAAGTGTGGTACAGATGCAGATGTGCAAGGAAGGTGCAAAGGCAGTTTGCATTGCTTAAATACATCAAGCAGCTGGAACTGCATGTATGTGTCCTTTGCCTAAATTGTGACTAAGTGTTCAGCACTTTGTTCAGCGAGTGAGTGGGACAGTGGGAGTGGGGAGATTTGGAGGAGAGAGGAGCTGCCTCTGCATGACCCACAGGTGATCAGGACGAAAAAAGTTGACAGGGCAAATTATCTGCCTGATGGGTATGCATGTACATGGATTCTTGTCCATGGTGGTGTATATGTCCTGTGATTCCAAACAAATGAAGCTCACTGTCACTTTCTTGTGCATTAAGTCACCACAACATTGCAAATTCTCTCTGTTACATAGCAATCCTGTATTTCTTGCCAAAAGTACCAGCTAAGTTCCAAACTGCTAGTTCTTACCTATATCGGCCTAAACATCCTGGAGCCAGGGTATCTCAAAGAATACATATAAGCCTGCCCAAAATCTGCATTCAGCATCTGAAGCCTTAGAACACATCCCATGTGAGATGGATGGGTACTTCGCATTGCCTTTTGTGTAGTGCAGGAGCCCCCAGTGTGGTTTCCATTCACATTTCTAATGGCACCTGCGGAGTGGTCCCTACTAAGCAAACCAACTTTTATTTCCCTTTACTCCTTTTTTAATATTGTTCAGGGATTTGTATATATCCATAGCAATTAATACATATGCAATGCATATACCTTAATAGCAATTACACATGCGCTTCAACAAAAACTGTTCAAATAGCCTAACATCTGTTGGGGCACAGCACCTATACGCTGCCCATTCAAATACTTGAACACACTGCAGAGTCCTCAATCGGTATCCTTTATCCTTCCACTGTTGGAATATCACTCTGAGTGGTCAAGAGTCCTAAAATACCACAGAGTCCTCATGGTAGCACACTGCAAGCCAGGTGTCATGTGAACACAGTCACTGTTAACTGCTTTAATAGAATTCTGTACTTTCCCAGAAAATAAATGTGTATTTATTTCAGTAAAAGAAGTTGATAAACCACAGATAAACAGTACCTTATCTGCTGCAAATAAATTCTCTGGTTGAGTTAGGCAACAGAATTCATTTGAACCTGGAACATCTTTAGCTGTTATCACATCAATTACTCCTGGCAGCTGAAGAGCTTCTGATATATCAATTGATCTGGAAAGCAAAATGTAATTCATCCTTTCTAGAAATATGGTATAACTAGCTTAGAAATTATTTCTAGAAATTGATTCTTTAAAATTCCAACAAAATATCCCCTAAATTATATTTTAAGATTAGACGGAGGAGATTTTACTACACAATCCTTGGGAAATTATTTCATCAACCATGAATACAATTGTATAGTTTTTTTAAACAAAGGTTTACTAACTTGGCAAAAAAGGATGTACAGTGTAATCCAAGGAGAAGTAAGCCCCTTCAAGTTCAAGGGGAATTACTCACAGAAAAGTGTGAGGAACTAAACCAGACTGCATTTTGTAATAACAGTTACGAATTAAAGAAACAATGATCAGTCAAAAACACCAACACTGTACATTTTTTTACAAAATATTAATACTTTAGCTAGTGGTGGGGAGCACGGAAGCAAGTCCCTGGGAATGAATCCATAGTTAGATGGGGAAATTGTGTGTGCAGATGTGCATGTTGCAATCAATTTCCAATCCATATATTTATAACCTTCTAAAATCTGTACTCACAGTAATCTACTGACTGGAAAGTGGTAAGGACTAGATATAGAGAACCCACCAACGTAAAACATAAAAGCTGACTTTTTAACTTCTTTCCCAAGTGAGATCAGGGCCAAAATGTATTATTTTTATATATTCAGCAGGAAACCATATGGTGGAGATGGTGCAGAATGGGGAAAAACACCTAAGAAGAATATACACTAGCTTAAGCTGGATCCATCTTAAACAAACATTTTACAATTTTTCATTATAATTTTTATTTTTTTCTTTAATTTTTAAGTTTTGGGGGAAGGAGGAATTTCTGATGTTTGACATAAAGCACATGGAACTAGTTTTGGGGATCATTAGAACCTGGTCAATAATTTTCTGTTCCCTTTCTCAAGCCAGGTGCCATGCTAATCATATTTTTGCACTCACACAATCTGTGCATGGGCTCTTGAACTTGTTACCAAGGTCAGAAAGAATTCCTTCTCCAAGGGGTGAATGTCATCACAATAGACTGCTTCTCCAGTGGCATGCTTAATACCTGCATGATGCATGATGGGATACCCCACTGTGTCATGGGGCAATTGTTCAGGAGCAACATCCTGTTTAAGAAAACAAAGCAAATAAAGTATGGCATCCTTACTTGCAATGTGGAAGCTTTACAAAGACATAGACAATACTATTACAAAATATTAATTTATTATGGAACAGACTCTATAAATACTTTTTTGGATATATATTTTGGAAATGATTTTTATGGCTGATGAAGAGCTTATAATAAGCTAGTTAGTATTTAAGATGCAATATAATATTTCATATTCTTACAACAGAATCATGCTGATTTCAGTGGGGTTTACTTTCAAGTTTCCATAGTGCTTCAGTTCAACTGACTAGAATACCACTGTTCTCTTGAAATTTGTAGGCAAATTTTCACAGAGCACTCCTAATCTCAACTGCATTTTCAGTTGGTTCCTAATCTGCCAACACAGATCAATTCAGGGTATAGCCCATTGTTGTTGTTGTTGGTCGTGAAGTCGTGTCCAACCCATCGCAACCCCATGGACAACATTCCTCCAGGCCTTCCTGTCCTCCACCATCCCCCGGAGTCCACTCAAGCTCACACCGACTGCTTCAGTGACTCCATCCAGCCACCTCATCCTCTGCAGTCCCCTTCTTTTGCCATTTATTGTTCCCAGCATCAGGGACTTTTCCAGTGAGTCCTTCCTTCTCATTAGGTGGCCAGAGTATTTGAGTTTCATCTTCAGTATCTGGCCTTCCAAAGAGCAGTCAGGGTTGATCTCCTCTAAGACTGACTGGTTTGATCGCCTTGCAGTCCAAGGGACTTGCAGAAGTCTCCGCCAGCACCACAATTCAAACGCCTCAATCCTTTTGCACCCAGCCTTCCTTATGGTCCAGCTTTCACAGCCATACATTGCAACTGGGAAAACCATAGCCTTGACTATATGCACGTTTGTCGGCAGGGTAATGTCTCTGCTTGTTAGTATGCTGTCTAGATTTGCCATAGCTTTCCTCCCATACTTTGATTTTTAAAAAAGTGAGCAAATGCATGCATATTAAATATTAAAAACAAAAGGGTGGGTGTGTGGTTTTCAAGTGTTCACAAAGGACACACATCTTCCCTTGGATGGCCATTTTGCTACCTGTTCAATAGAACACAACATAACTTAATGTGAGCTTTTATGCAACCTGTATTAGGTTGATTGGGACTAGATTTTGACCTTGTGGAAGGTAGCCTGAGTGTACAATGAATGGTACAAAAGTATAGGCTTGGTCAAATTACTAGACAATACAACCCTACCAGCCTCCACTGCATTTATATAACCTTTTAAGGTATTTGCAAATACTAAGCAAAATCTTGTGTGATAGCCATGATCCAGCTTTTCATACCCTGAGGTGAGATTAGAGTGCTGGATGTCGGGCAGGCAGTGACTACACCCTAACCAACAAATACCGGTGATAGTTATTAACAGATGCCACTGACCTGGTACTTTTGTGAACCATGAGGTAACTTAGTATGGAACTCCTCCAAGCTTCTCATATATTTCAGTGGTATAGGGAGATAGCTAGATGGATACTGAAAAACAGATAAATGCTATTTAGCACTGATCTCCTTTATTTGTTATTTATCACATTTGTGCCTTGCCCTTCTTCCAAGGAGCTCTGGGTTGCTCCTCACAACAGTGAGTTAAGTTAGATTCACAGAATATGATTTTCCCAAGGCAATCCGTGAACTTTGTGGCCAGGCAGACAACATCCTCACTCCTCCTAAATAGTCCAAACATTCTAGACATCATACCGCAATGACTGGATTTGCATGATATGACAAACCATTGTGGGTTGCTACCCATGGTGGGTTGTTCTGTCATGTAAACCCAGGTTGATGCTCATGGGGTGGCTTGTGTTAAGGATAACCTCAATGACCCGTGGGCTGCAGAAGGGGTGGTTGCACCCACAATGGACTGTTGTGGCATCTGAACCTGGGCCGGCAGACCCATTGTAGGTATAGGGAATCAGCTACTTATCACATGGGAAGAGCAGCAAAAGCCTCTTAAGTGTGCCCTGGCATTCACCAGGACCAGCCGCCACAGAAGTGCCCAAGCCACAATTGGGGTCAGCTGACACTAACTTCCCTACACATACTTCAATCACAACCACTTTCAGGCTCATTGTGGCTTTTTCTTCACTTTAATGTTTTTTCTGAAGAGCATGAAATCTGGCTGCCCAGCAGGCGCTTCTTATCCCCTAAACTGATCACTACAAAAAGGCTCTTCAAACTTCCCCTGTGGTTGCCAAACCGTTCTTTTTTTAATTATCCCTCCTGATTTTTTGCAAATACTTGTGATAATTATTGTTTCATTGTTTTTACACAGCAGTTGTGTGAATGCCAGAATGGCCAATCTTGGATGGGCAATGAGAGATCCACCTGCACTATTCAAATTCTGAAGCAATGCAGTGGAACACTTCTAGCCTCATAATCTCTGCTTGTGTTGTTTCTGTACAAAATTAAAACTAAAACAGAGCAGTGTCTATGGCACTCGTGCATCTACCTTCTACGCAGCAATCACACTGATGACAAATACTGATGCCATGGCTATCACGACATGGAGCAGTTGGGAATGGTATTTATTGCACAATGGAGAGAAAGGGTTAAAAACAAAGAGAGAACAGAGACAACTGCACAAGTCAGTTGGCTTCTCAACATGTTTCAAGATACTTTTCTTCTAGCTAATCAGTGATTTTTTTTCTGACGCCATTTTTGCTGTGGGGAGGAAGTGTTAGAATAAATTTGTAATATTTTTTAAAGCATCAAAACCTAGTTTGTGCAGCTATCTTATTCCTTTTAGTCACCCACATTTATGGCAGTTATCAAGATGCTAACAAATAAATCATATAATAAATACTTAAATAATAAATTTTTAAGTAGCCACTGTATTTCTTACCTGCCTTTGTCATTGGACAATATGCGGCCTTAAATTTTTGGAAAGAAAGGTTAAACAATTCCTAGTGAAATGATTGTCTGTTTTGATGTACAAGATACACCATATTGTAGTCTGTGCAAATCTGTGTAACAAAGTTAGATTCTGCCTAGCCAATGGATAATGAGCCTCCCCGAGGCTTTGTTGCGATGGGGGCGGCATAGAAATGGTTTAAATAAATAAACAGCTATTTTTAAACCAATTATCAATGATTCCTGTAATAACAGTTACAGAAAGTTACCATTTGGTGTAATTGTTGCAATGTTTGTAAATAGAATTTATATATGAAACAGATCATCAGAGTTTGTTTGTATTCTGTTATTCCTTCCGGAGGGGGGTCAAGGACAGACACCTCCTCAGAGACTAGCCTGCAAGCTTCTTCCAGTGTTTGTTCATTCCAGTTTCTGTAAGAAGGGAAATGTATGGAAGATTCAAAATGAAAACTTTTTACAAAGAAACTAACAAAACACAGCCCAACAGCTATAGTGATATACCAATGGGATTTAAAGAAACAGTATTCACAATTAGAGATGTACCAAAATATACATTGTACAAAAATAGCATTGTACAAAAATATACAAAAATTTATCATTCACATTTTTTACAGCTTGCAGTTATAACAGCAATATCTCATTTTATTAACCGCGAAAAGGTAAAATGGATTGTTTCAAAGTGGCAAAGAAGCATGCGGAACACAAGGATAAATTTCAGCACTGGAATACAATTTAAAGCAGGGGTCTCAAACTCACAGCCCGCGGGCCAATTGCGGCCCGTGGGACGATATTTTGTGGCCCCCACTTGATATCAAAGTTTAGTGATAGTGCGGCCCGTGCATTTTTCTCACACGCACCTGGGTGAGTCATTACCCTGGGCTCATTGTTCCCCCTAAGCTGTGTGCCGGGACGGGCGGGGCATGGGGGAGGCACCCTGTGGCCTTCAATGCTCCAGCGGTGCTCAGGCTGGCCTCCGGGAGCCACGCGGGATGAGCGGCCCAGCACCACCGCTGCCGCCCAAGGCCAACCACCATGGTGGTGGTGGGCCGCTCATCCGTGTGGCTCCCGGAGGCCGGCCCGGGCACCGCCGGCACTTTGAAGGCCGCAGGGCCCCTCCCCGGTGCCCCGCCTGTCCCGGCGCGCAGCTTAGAGGGAACATTGCCTGGGCGTTTTATATTTTTTGTCACCTGTGGGCTACCATAGCTCAGGATCGTGACAGCAACGCAAATTAACAACGTTAGTCACTTGAAACGTGATTCGGGAGAGTCACCGAGGGAAGAGAAAATATATCCTGTCACCCAGTGCAAATACGTTTTTTTTGTCACCCAGCCCCAGTCACGTCTTTCTCAAAACCTGCCGTGAAGAGAAAGGTTGGCGATGAGCACAGACCATTTCAGGAGAAGTGGGAAACGGAATATTTTTTTGTTGAGCACAAGGGCATCCCAACGTGTCTTATATGCACAGAGAAAGTTGCGGTGCACAAGGAGTACAATGTCAGACGTCATTACTCGACTAGACATGCTGAGGAGTATGCAAAATACCAGGGAGATGAGAGAGAGGACTGCGTCGCCAAACTTAAAACATGTCTACTGAGGCAACAAGATTTTTTCAAGAAAGCAAGCAAAGAGAGTGATGCAGCAGTCGAAGCCAGCTACGTAGTGAGTGAGATGATTGCTAAGGCAGGAAAGCCATTTAAAGATGGTGAGTTCATCAAAAAGTGCATGTTACAGGCTGCAAGTATAGTCTGTCTGGAAAAAAAGGGTCAGTTTAGCAACATCAACCTCTCAGCCAACACAGTGGCAGAGCGCATTTCTGACCTGTCAGGTAACATTTACGATCAACTGCATGAGAATGCTAAACATTTTCATGCATAATCAGTTGCTCTTGATGAGAGCACAGACGTCACTGACACCGCGCAGCTCACAGTATATGTCCGTGGTGTTGACGACAATTTTGAAGTGATGGAGGAGTTACTCACAGTGATTCCAATGCATGGCCAGACCACCGCTCAGGAGATATTCCGCCAGCTGTGTGATGCCATTGCAGATGCCGGCTTACTATGGAAGAGTTTTGCTGGAATAATAACCACCGGAGTGCCATCAATGACAGGGAGGAGAAATGGAGTCATGGCACTTGTTCAAAGAAAATTGGAAGAAGAGGTGTGGAAGAGGCCATTGCTCTGCACTGCATTATCCATCAGCAGACCCTTTGCAGCAAGTGCCTGAAGTTTGACAATGTGATGTCTGACATTGTGAAATGCATCAACCATATCAGATCCAGGGGCTTAAAGCACTGGTAGTTCCGTGCCTTTTTAGAGGAAATAGAGTCAGCATATGAGGATGTGCTCTACTACACCGAGGTACGTTGGCTTAGCAGGGGAAACGTCTTGAAGAGGTTTTTTGAGTTGAGAGCAGAGGTGATAACCTTCATGGAGAAAGATGGGATGGCTGTTCCTGTACTAAGTGATCCCAAATGGCTCATGGTCTTAGCTTTTCTTGTTGACATCACACAGGAGCTAAATGTACTGAACAAGTAATTACAAGGCCAGGGACAGCTTGTCAGTGCTGCCTATGACAATGTCAGAGCATTCTCCACAAAACTTGTGTTATGGAAAGCCCAGCTTTCTCAGACAAACCTCTGCCATTTCCCAGCATGCAAGGCACTCATGGATTCTGGCACACCATTCAGCGGTGAGAAGTATGCTGATGCCATTGTAAAGCTACAGGAAGAATTTGATCACAGGTTTGCAGATTTCAAGACACACAGAGCCACTTTTCACATTTTTGCTGACCCCTTCTCCTTCGATGCAGAAGATGCCCCCCTTGTGCTTCAAATGGAGCTAATTGACCTGCAGTGCAATTCTGAACTCAAAGCCAAGTTCAGGGAGGTGAGTGGAAAAGCAGACAAGCTTGGACAATTTTTGAGAGAATTGCCCCTTACCTTCCCTG